ACAATTAAATCGTGGACCAATTCTTGGCAAATGAAATTGAGTCATCTTTAACTAAAGTATAAGTTTCTTTTAAGGAAATCCTACATCTCTTCATCGAGAAAAACTATTTTAAAGTGAAGTCTAGTAAATAGCCATTAGGTTCTTAATGAGAATGATTTACCAACTAATAACTGATTAGTGATTTAACAAGATGCGAGTTTTCCTTCGCAATTTTACAATTAAATCGAACTTGTAAAATCTACTTCATAAATTTATAGAGGTTTTATGGTTACGAATATCAATAGAAAAAGGACAATAGGCATAGAATTATACAAATATAGTTTTAGTTTAATTTAATGAACGAATAGACCGACCTCGACGCAAAGAGATCTTCTAGGTCCCTGGTCTGGCCTCGGTGGTAATCTGGCAATGGCTTCGAGGGCGGCTGCGAGGGCTCTTTCCTCGGCTTCTGCCTCAGCTACCGCTGCGGCTGCAGCTGCGGTCAGTCTTGGATCGTCTAACTGCTTGCTCGATTTACACCTATCCCACATATCTTTTTTTTACCCTTTCCCTTCATATTTATATTCTTTCTGGCCACATAGAAACAACTTCCCCCAGACACTCGTCTACTTCGAGAAGCAACAATTATATTTAATTCCGAATATTTAATCATAATATAAAAAAAAAAAACGTTGTCTCTTTTCTTAAAAATCAGGACGAATATATTATGAAAAACCTTGAATGCGAAAATCCAACGAGTTTGAAAACACACTACACAGAAACGCGCGCACTAAAGCGTTGCTGTCGCCAACTTTCTTGAAAAAAATGTTTTCGAAAAAGTTGCGAAACGTCAACTAGCAATTAGCAGGCTTTTGTAGATATTTTTTTTTCAAAAAATTTCTAAAACATTCCGCGTTGAATGAATCATGAACAACTTGCACGGAGCATGGGTTCTAAAATTAAACTTCGTGTACAATAACGCGGTGGAAAGAAAGAAAAGAAAAAAAGAGGAACAAGTGGGGACCCGCCCGGGGAGGAAAAAGAATTTACCTGCTTTTATAAACAAGCAGAAGGATCATAAGACCGAAAAAACCACCGAGAGTTGCTGCGATTCTGACCCCGGTCATAACATCGTAAGTTTTGTAAAATTCAATTTTGAGTTGCTCCCGCTCGCTGAGTGTCGACGTCGCTTCCGGCAGGAATGTCGTCGAGTCCATCCTTCTCGTCGTTACGTTGCTTACGTTCACGTTGCTGCCTACGACACTCCCCATATCTATACACAAAGCAAACACTTATTTGTTTACTTTTAATTAATTAATAAAAAATTTGATACAGAAATATACGTATATACGTGCTTGCTTACCATAAATGAATCTTGATTCATTGAAAGAAAATGATGAATTGAACTATAAGTTTCAGAATACAAATCTGTTGTTTTTCACAATAAAAGTATCTGAATTGATTCTGGCACGTTTAGTTAAAAAAAAAAAAAAAAAAAAGAGAACCTATAAATTGTATAAAGATTGTGTCACACTGTGTCTACGATTTTAGATTCGTTTCCATATCGATCGAAAAGTCTGATAAACAATGGTCACTTAAAACTTATAAAAGACTATAAGAAGACTGTACTTATTGCTAGAAGATTATAAGAACGGAAGGAAAGACACTATGTCAAATCTTTGTAAGTTAACTATTTTAAAATACAATTGTCCCTTTATATAAGCATGAGAATCAACATTAATTGATTCAAAAGATGGAAATAACTATCTAGAAAGATTATTCTAAAAATTTTCATATACATTGGCTAATTAAATATTTAACTTCGCTTTAGTAAAGTGATTAATAAATAAACTGTTGTAGAGGGAAATTAACTGTTAAAACAGCGATGGACCATCGAGATTGTACGAACGATCGAATATAAATTTCTATCTATTGAAGATAGTCTTATTGTTGAATCGGAGCAAGAGTATTGGATCCACGTGTGGTGGTACTGGTTTGGAAAAGTCATAGCGTGGCTATCGAATTCCAGTGATAATCAATAGAACTTTGAAGGGGTGTCCTATAGAGTGGCACTCAATCGAGAGCCGCTGCCTCGAGAACGAAGAACACTTTGAAAACAAAGATAAAATGAAAAAGGCCGGCGAAACAATAGAAACAAAGGACAGAGATATTTTTTTTTAAGGGGTCTCAATCCTACGGAAGCTCTCGGCCATGGTTTTTCGCGCTAATTACTTTTTAATTGACGACGAATAATAAAAAGAACGTCACGTCCTATTGTCAGACCCGTTCGCGGTTTATTATATGTCGTCTGTAAATAAAGAGTAAAAAATTTTACATCACAATTATAAGAGGGATAAGATGAAATATATTTTCAGATATAAATAGAGAAGTTAGCAAGTATGATTTCAGCAAGTAGCAAATGGTCCAGCTCGGCTCAGCCATACATAAGCGTTGTAGTCATACCACGAAGGTTCTGGATATTGATTCCAAGCTAGAGAATCAATAGAGCCTGTCTTACGAACGTCTCGATAAGTCCTGTCACTGATAACGCTTCGCCATTCTCCACGAAATTCCTATTTGACCCACCTTATTATTTTCCATGAAAAACCGATTTCGGGGAACGACTCTACCAACACATAGTTACCTAGGCAGATACAGCAAACTACACAAAGGCTATATAAACGTGCGAAAACAAAGATGAAACATCTGGTAAAGATTTAATCCACAAATAACTCGATAATGTGAAATCGTCCAAGAATAATTTGCTATTTGTTCCTGTCCATAAATTCGTCGTATTTTCTTCTTTTTTTTCATTTTTTTTTTTTTTTTTTTTTTTTTTTTT